TTGAAAAAAATATCATAGGGTGGGTATGAAAATGTGTATATTTAAAGTAAAATACGACATTTAAATGACTCGATGTATTAAGTTTATTTAGGGACAGGTATACATAAGTATAATTATCAGAGTATATATAAAATATGAAATAACTTTTAAAAACATTTGAAATTTTGGAGTTTCCAGACAAAATGGAGAGACTTAGTGCTTACTGAGCTCATGGAGAATGTAAACAAACAGGGTGGGGCACGGTGACCGTATTAGAAAGTCAGGTGGGGGGAGCCGTATAGTGAGTTTTGGTCATAATTTGAAATGTCCGTATTAGCGGAACGCCGTAAAGTGAAACGCCGTAAAGCGGGGCCTTCCTGTACCTGTAATCTTGCATATTTATGAAACAAACAAAAGACACCAGCAATCCTACCATCATGTAAAACAATTACAGGCTTTGGTTTTACACTCACTTGGCAGGACGGTAGTACCTCCCTGGGTGGTTGCTGTCTACCAACCAGCCGACTTGTTGAAAAAAAAATATATATATATATAACATACATATATATATATATATATAATAATATATATAATATATATAATATAATATATATATAATTATTAAAACAGTGGACCCCCGGGAACGATATTTTTTCACTCCAGAAGTATGTTCAGGTGCCAGTACTGACCGAATTTGTTCCCATAAGAAATATTGTGAAGTAGATTAGTCCATTTCAGACCCCCAAACATACACGTACAAACGCACTTACATAAATACACTTACATAATTGGTCGCATTCGGGGGTAATTTGTTTATGCGGGGTCCACTGTATATATATATATAAATATATATATATATATAATATATATATATATATATTTTATATATATATATAATATATATATATATATCTATAAACACACACACACACAACACACACATATATAATTTTATAATATATATATATTATATATATATATATATATATATATATATATTATATATAATATATATAAAATATATAATGTATATTATATACATATATATATATATATATATATATACAGTGGACCCCGGTTCACGATATTATTTCATTCCAGACGTATGTTCAGGTGCCATTACTGAGCGAATTTGTTCCTATAAGGAATATTGTGAATTAGATTAGTCCATTTCAGACCCCCAAACATACACATACAAACGCACTTGCATAAATACACTTACATAATTGGTCGCATTGGGAGGTGATCGTAAACCGGGGGTCCACTGTATATATATATAGATGTATATATAATATTCACCACTCACTATAAGCTAAGGACAAAAATATTTTAAGGTAAGTAATATGTATTTTTTTAAGCCTAGCTTTCCTCACTTACATATGATAGTGTAAACATGTTACCAGGCTTTTAAATGAATTTGAAATTGAAAAAAAGGCTATGTTCCACTTTACAATGATTCTCACTTTACAGCAGTAGCCTGGAACCTAACCTGCTGTATAGGTGGGGCGCAATTATACTGCAGTACAGTGGACCCTCGGTTTTCGTGTTTAATCTGTTCCAGAGAGATCAGTGAAAACGAAAATTGGCGAAAATGGAAACCATATTCCCCATAAGAAATAATGTAAATCCAATTAACCCTTTGACTGTCGCAACCCCCAATCCTGAGGTGTCTCCTGGTGTCGCAAAATTTAAAAAAAAAAAAATTATTTTTTCTTATGAAATGATAGAGAATCTTTTCCCGATTGTAATGACACCAAAAAAAACGAAATTTGATGGAAAACTGACAGAATTATGCTCTCGCGAAGTTAGTGACCTCGGCGCTGTTTACAAATCGGTGATTTCGCCCACTTTGAGCCCTATTTTCGGCTAATTCCATTGTTCCAGTCGCCCAAACTCATAGTTATTTCTTTAGAACTCCATTTTTTCTATCGATTGAGTACAAGAAACTGCCCATTTACCAATTTCAACTACCTAATAATGTGGTCAGAAATTTGCAATTTGGCCAATTTCACGAAAACTAAAAAATATGACAATTTCAAAATAAGGCCCAGAATGAACAATGCAGACATTCCTGACTCTAAAATAACATTTTCTTTGTTCATCAGTCATGTCTCCAGGCCCCTCTGATATTATTCTTGCTTTCTATTTTGAATTTTTATTCAAACAAAAAATAGAAGACTTACTATTATGCAGACTACTGCAATACTGTAATAATTGTATAAATAACATCAACCCATTCATGACTGCATATTAGAATGGCTAGTTGGACATTTATTGGACAATGGCATCATTTGTTTACTTTTGAACATTGGCAAAAATCAAACATTTCCCCTACTTTGAGCTCCATTTCTAGGTTCTTTTTATAGTAAAATCAATCAAAATCACCTCTATTTCTATAATATGTTTTCCATTCTCTCAAATGTGACCAAGAAAACGAGAATACAACCATAAATACTATACGAAAATAGACCACAAAGTCGGCATTTTTATTAAAAAAAACGGTCGGAGTTTTTTTTCTCATGCACTGCGTGCGCCAGGATTTTTTTTATATGGTGCACACTGACCACACAGACCCATTCTCTCACATGTGGGCCTACCAGCTTTCTCCTGCTTGATTTGAAGCCGCTAGAATTGATGAGTATATATACGTCAAACACGGTACCTCGTAAGACGTATATATACGGCTGCGATAGTCAAAGGGTTAATCTGTTCCAGACACCCAGAAGTATTAACAAAAAAATTTTTTTTAACCTAAAAAATATTTACATGCACAAAAGAAAACATTCAACATGACAGTTACCATTATTGATGGCTGGAAGACAGGGAGGAGAAAGGGAAGAAGTTATTCTTTGGAAGGGGAATCCCCCTTCATAAGGACTCTAGGTACCACATCCTTATCTGGAGTCACTTCCCTTCATTTTTTTTTAATGCCACTAAGACTAGCTTGAGTCACTGGACCCCTGTCGCACAAAATAACTGTTCAGAGTGCTCTGTTTCTGGCATCTCTTTAAGATTTGCCTAAAATGGGACATGGCATTGTCATTGTAAAAGTCACCAGCACGGATTGCAACAGCTTTCTCAGGGTGATGTTCCTCCACAAATGAATGCACTTTACTTCACATTGCACAAATCTCCTTAATCTTTGAAAGCACATTCTTCCATCTCTCTTCTCCTCTGAAGCAATTTCCTCAGCTGTGGTCTGTTGCTGTTGCAGATGAAGCTCTTGCAGCTCATCAATGGTTAGCTCTTCATTGTGGTCCTCCACCAACTCTTCCACATCCTCCAAACTCACATCCAACCTCATGGAATTCCCTAGCGCCACAACTGACTGCATAACAGGTGTAGGGTTGACAGGGTCAGCATCAAACCTTTCAAAATCCTTCTTTTGGACACAATCTGGCCACAATTTTCCCCAAGCAGAGTTCGTCATCCTGGAAGTCACTCCCTGCCAAGCCTTATCTATAAGGCTTATGCAGTGGAAGGTATTGAAGTGATTCTCCCAGAGCTCTCTTAGGGTCAATTCAGAGTCCGAGGTTATGTCAAAGCACCTTTGAAACATTGCTTTGGTGTACATTTTTTGAAGTTTGCAATGATCTGCTGGTCCATGGGCTGGATGAGAGGAGTGGTGTTAGGAGGCAAGAACATCACTGTTACAAAACTGAATTCCTTAGACAATTAGTCTTCCAAGTCTGGAAGATGAGCAGGGGCATTGTCCATTAACAGGAGGCACTGGAGAGGCAATTTATTATCCAGGAGGTATTTCTTCACACTCGGGCCAAACACTTCATTGAACTATTCCAGGAAAATTTCCCTACTGTTAGCCTTCCACATCACACACAATTTACTCTTGACAACGCTGTTGTTCTTGAACACTCTGGGATTTTCAAAGTGATACACGAGTAAAAGCTTCACTTTGAAATCCCCACTAGCATTACCACACAACAAGAGAGTTAGCCTGTCTTTCATAGGTTTGTGTCCTGGCAGTGCCTTTTCCTCCTGTGTGATGTACGTCCTCTTTGGCATTTTCTTCCAAAACAGGCCTGTTTTGACACAATTGAACACTTGATGGGGTTAGAATTTTTCAGCCTCTACATAACCTTTGAATTCCCGTAGAAATTTTTCAGCCGCTTGCTTGTCTGAACTGGCACCCTCGCCATGCATTACAACACTGTGTAGGCCACTTCGCTTCTTATATTTTTCGAACCAGCCTTTGCTGGTCTTAAATTCAGCAACATCAGCACTCATTTCAGGCAGTTTCTTTATGAGATCACCATGCATCTACCTGGCCTTTCACAAGTTATTGACTGCACAACACAAATTATCTCCTGCTAACTCTTTCTCTCTGATCCACTCCAACAACAATTTCTCCACTTTGTTTGTGATCTCTGTTTGGTTATCACATTCACCTCTTTTTGCAACATCGGCTTCCATGATTTCTTTTCTCTTTGCCACAATGGAGCTAATCGTTGATGGCGCCTTCCCATACATCCTGCCAAGTTCAGCAATGCGTATGCCACTATCATATTTTGAACAATTTCTTTTTTCATTTCAACAGTGTTCCTCACTTTCTTTACCAAAGGACTGGCACTAGGATCTTTCTTTGGGGCCATGGTGGATTATTTACCAGTCACATGCAATAAACAAGTGCCAAAAACAATGGATTATATTACGAAATGTTTCGTATGACCTGGCAGGATATGTTCACTTACCGAGAAACAACACTACACTGCCTGAGAATGCGTGAGGGAGGTGGCTCTGTCTGCATGCTGGGCACTGGACAGATTCCATATGATCAATGAAAACAGAACAAAAATATCGATGAAAATAGTCGACGAAAACGGAAATTGGTGATATCAGAGATTGACGACAAGGGAGGGTCCACTGTAGTTTGAAATCTAACCTATTGTATAAGTGGGGCCCTCCTGTGCAGCAGTAGCCTGGAGCCTAACCTGCTGTATAAGTGAGGCCCTCCTGTACAGCAGTAGCCTGGAACTTAATTTGCTGTGTAAGTAGGGCCTGCCTGTAATTTTAACATGTTACCGTACCTGGTATCCAAACTCCAGCTCATCAGCGGTCATCATGTTGATGTCATCATCTATGGCAAGGATGCACTCGGTCTCAATCTCTTCGTAAGGGTAGAAGCGATTGCTGAGTTTGTTCTCCCGTGTCTGAACGACTTTCAGTGGTACGCTAATCTTGGGCCACATAGAGGCTGCAAAAGTTTAAGTCTATTACAATACATCCTTTTAGTAAAGTGTCTTGATGCTGGTGAAGAGTTTCTGATCCAAGGAATTGGAGGTACTCTCTCTCCCATTAAACCTGATTAACCCATCTTCCAGGGATTCTATGACCCATATGGGTTTAGTGCTTTTCTAAGATTGTATCACCAATATGCAGGCTGAAAAATGAGACACTTGTACAACATTTGGGAATCTTTACTGAGGAAACATTTCTCCAGCCAGTGATGTCTTCAGTCCAATACAGAAAAGAATGATAGAAGAGGAGAAGTTTGAGGTAATCTGTCCTCATCTTCCACTGTTCTTCTCTGTTTTGGACTGAGGAATCCAATGGCTGACAAAACGTTTCCAAAATAAAGATAACCAAATGTTCCACAAGTGTGTCAATCTTCAACTTGTGGTTTTTATAAATCATTTACGTCATAAATACACAAAATTCCCAACATTCCCAACAAATTACAAACCATTTGTTAGTAAAGAAAACAACAGTACAAAGAATAGCTGTTTCACTTATATTCTTACTGTTTATAAGATGAAGATTTATTAAACCCATATAGCATTACCTAATAATAATCAATTCACTTGTATTCATTGTAACTCATCTAATGACCATATGAACTGTTACTGCTTTATTAATCTTAAGTTAATTTTTAGTTTGCCCAAAATGCTTTGCATACAAAGGGGCTTTTGGCATGTACAACCATATCATGTCAAAATAAAATTATTATTATTATCGTTGTCATATAATTTTCCCTATTTGTTAATGGTTTTGGGAATCACTTCTTCTGTAACACAGACCCAAATTAGCCATGAAATATTACTGCAATAAGAACAATTAAGAAACATACAAGAAACTAAAGATATATGTAAAGTGGACCCTCAACCAACGATATTAATCTGTTCCAGAGAGTTTATCATTAGACAAATTTATCGTTAGTCAAATTAATTTTCCCCATAAGCAATAATGGAAATTCCAATTAATCCGTTCCAGACACCCAAAAGTATGATTTTTTTTTTCACATGAAATATACATTTTCCTACACAGAAAAAGAAGGATACATGCACAATAAATACTGTAATAAATGAAGAATAAATGACACTTACCTTTATTGAACATGTAGTGATGAGTGATGAGACACTGTCTTTCTTGAACACTCTGGGATTTTCAGAGTGATACATGAGTAAAGGCTTCACTTTGCAATCCCCACCAGCATTACAACAAAACATGAGAGTCAGCCTGTCTTTCACAGGCTTGTGTCCTGGGAATGCCTTTTCCTCCTGAGTAATGTAGGTCTGTTTGGCATTTTCTTCCAGAACAGGCCTGTTTCGTCACAACTGAACTGGGATGAATCTTTCAGCTTCGCCATGCCTTATCACACTTTATCATGCCTTATCAACCTTTGCTGGCCTTAAATTCACCAATATGAGCACTAGTTCCAGGCATTTTTTCCAATTCACCTGGGTGTTAGCCGACTGGCGTGAGCTGCATCCTGGGGACAAGATTAAGGACCCCAATGGAAATAAGTTACAGTCCTTAATGATGCACTGGCTTTCTTGGGTTATCCTGGGTGGCTAACCCTCTGGGGTTAATCGTTTCTTGGTAACTGTTTCTCGTTAAGCCACACCAACAACAGTCTCTCAACATCCTTCAGCAGTACAGCTGACGATGGTGCAGCAGCAGCTGATGGTGGTGCAGCAACAGTTGATGGTGGTGCAGCAGCAGCTGATGGTAGTGCAGCAGCAGTCGACCGTAGTACAGCAGCAGCAGCAGCTGACCATGGTGCAGCAGCAGGTGACGGTGGTGCAGCAGCTGACTGTGGTACAGCAGCAGCTGACCGTGGTACAGCAACAGCAGCAGCTGACCGTGGTACAGCAGCAGCAGCTGACGGTGGTGCAGCAACAGCTGACAGTGGTGCAGCAGCAGCTGCCCGTAGTACGATAGTATTTCGATAGTATTTCTCACCCTTTTTACCATAGGGTTGGCACTAGAAGCTTGCTTTGGGCCCATGGTGGTTTATCTAGCAGTTACAAGCACTAAAAACAATGGAATAATACAAAATTTATCGAATGTATACATGCAAACTGTCCGCCCTGGCTTGTAAACAATGGTACACTAGCTGAGCTGATACGGACACGTTCAGGACGAGTGATGTTAGTCGAGTTTTTCATCGTTGGTTGGGCCAAAATTATTACACTAAAATGCTTTGTTAGTCGATTTTATTGTTAGATGATGCCTTCGTTGGTTGAGGGTCCACTGTATACTGAATTGATTAAGTGTGATCCACTGCAAGGCCTGGTCATGAACCAGGCTGCAGTGCCGCAAACTCCTGGAACACCCTTCACTTATACTCTTCCAGGTAAGTAAAAGTTGTAAGAATTACCTGCTATCTGTGTGCTCATGATACAAACAAAACAATACTCACAGAGTGCAGAATGTTTAACACACTTCTCTTTTACACTTATGGGAGAGGTTGATAGTACCTTAACCTTTTGACTGTCACAAGCCCCTTTCTGAAACTGTCATTCTATGTCGCAAAATTTTTGGAAAAAGAAAATTATTTTTTCTTATGAAGTGATAGAGAATCCTTTCCCGATGGTAATGACACCAAAAGTATGAAATTTGGTTGAAAACTCACGAAATTACGCTCCGTGAAGTTAGCGGCCTCGGCGACACATACACATCGGCGATTTTGCCGACTTTGAGCCCTATTTTTGGCCAATTCCATTATTCCAGTTGACCAAACTCATAGCTATTTCTTTAGAACTCCATTTTTTCTATCAGTTGAATACAAGACACCGCGCATTTACCGATTTGAACTACCCAATAAAGTGGTCAAAAATTGGCAATTTTGTCAATTTCACACAAATTAAAAGAGATGCCAATTTCAAAATAAGGTCCAAAACAAACAATGTAGACATTCTTGGCACTAAAATAACATATCCTCCGTTCATCAGTCACGTCTCTAGGCCCCTCTTATATTACTATTGCTTTCTATTTTGATTTTTTATTCATACAAAAAATGCAAAATTTACTGTCATTCAGACTAATGCATTATTGTACAAAATGGTATAAATAATATCAGTGCACTAGTGAAAGAATATTAGACTCTTCAGTTGACGTGTATTGGATGTGTGGTGTGATTTGCTTACTCCTGAACATTGGTAAAAATCGAACATTTCCGCTTCTTTGAGGTCAATTTCAAGGTCGTTTTCATCGTAAAACTAATCAAAACCATCTCTATTTCTGTAATATGTTTCCCATTTTATCACTTGAGACCATGAAAATGAGAATACAACGATAAATACTATCCGAAAATACACCTCAAAGTCGGCGTTTTAATCCAAAAAAAACGTCAGTTTTTTTTTTCTCATGTACTGCGTGCTGCAGGATTTTTTTATGTGGTGCACACTGACCACACAGACCCATTCTCTCACATGTGGGCCTACCAGCTTTCTCCTGCTTGATTTGAAGCCGCTAGAATTTACGTGTATTAATACGTCAGAAACAGTGGCACGTAAGACGTATATATACGACCAAAACAGTCAAAGGGTTAATGGATGATTGCTTTCCACCAGCTTACTGTCTACCATAAATGAGGATAAATAATTAACATGAATCTTGGAACAAAATGTGTCCCATAGTTCGATCGCTAGCGCACTCAGCTCATACACTGAAGTCCGGAGTTCAAATCTCCGGTATGGCTGGAAAATATTAGGATTTGTTTACATAAGACACCTGCTGTCCCTTTTCCTGGGCACCTGGGTGTTAGTTGACTGGTGTGGGTCACATACTGGGACAAAACTGACCTAATTTGCCTGAAATGCTCTGCCTAACTAGTGGTTTTCTATATAGTAGTATGTCATTGAAGTCAGCTATGGTGTGTATACCTTGGACCTGTACTTGTAGAAATAAAGATATTATTATTATAATATAGTAAACTATAAAGCGATGAAGAACAAGAAATAATGAAGGCTAACTTAAGGTCGGGGAAGTAATAAGCCAGGAGACAACAAATCCTCATTACTACACATCTTAGGATTAGTACAAGCATTTTACATGTACAGTTGACCCTCGCATAACACTATTAATCCGTTCCTGAGAGCTCAACGTTAGGCTAAATTATCGTTAGGCGAATGAATTTTCCCCATAAGAAATAATGGAAATCAAATTAATTCGTTCCTGACACCCCAAAGTATGAACAAAAAAAAATTTTTACCACATGAAATATTAATTTTAATACACACAAACTTAAGAAGACATGCACAGTTACATGACACTTACCTTTACTGAAAATCTGGTGATGATTGATGGGATGGAAGGAGGGAAGAGTGTTGATGGTCTTAGTGTTTAGAAGGGGAATCCCCTTCCATTAGGACTTGAGGTGTCAAGTCCTTTTCCGGGGTTACTTCCCTTCTTCTTTTAATGCCACTAGGACCAGCTTCAGAGTCACTGGACTTCTGTCACGCAACATATCTGTCCATAGAGGTCTGTACCTCTCGTTCCTTTATGACTTTCCTAAAGTGGTTCACAACACTGTCAGTGTACAGGTTGCCAACACGGCTTGCAATAGCTGTCTGAGGGTGATTTTCATCCATAAAGGTTTGCACTTCAAGCCACTTTGCAGAGATTTCCTTAATCTTTGAAGTAGGCAACTTCTTCAATTTCTCTATCCCCTCCTCCGAAGCAGTTTCCTCAGGTGTGGCCTCTTGCTGTTGAAGTTGATCTAGCAGCTCATCAGTGGTTAGTTCTTCATTGTCCTCCTCCACTAACTCTTCCACATCCTCCCCACTAACCTCCAACCCCAAGGACTTCCCCAATGCCACAATTGATTCCTCAACTGGTTAGCCTCAAATCCTTCAAAATCCCTTTTGTCTACACATTCTGGCCACAGTTTTTTCTTCCAAGCAGAGTTCAAGGTCCTCTTAGTCACTCCCTCCCAAGCCTTACCTATAAGGTTTACACAATTGAGGATAT